CTGGAGGAGGTGGCTGGGGAGAGGGAGGTCTGGGCCTCTTTGCTTAGGCTGCTGCCCCCGCGACCCGGCCTCGGATAAAGCGGATGAAGATGGATGGATGAATGCAAGCAGCAGGACAAAAGCAGTTAGCATTGTTGTTCCTGGAAATGTTTTCCTTGGAGAACACCTACATTAATATAATTTTATTAGTCAGTTGAACCACTCTCTCTTCCCCAAAATATTCCTGCATGTGTGATTGTTAATGTCACATCAGCATGAAAGAAATAGGAAGTAAGGGAAGGACAATTTTTCCAGCTTTTCCTTCGCTACCAGACATTCTCCATACCCGAGAGTGTCCAGTCTCCAGTGTGGATCCTTCAGTCCAGCCGACAGCAGCATCATTCCTGAGTCTCCTGGGTGATTGTAGGTTAGGTCAAGCTCTCTCAGATGGGAGGGGTTGGAGGTCAAAGCTGATGCCAGACAAGTACAGCCTTCCTTTGTGATCAGACAGTGTGACAGACTGTAGACAAAAAAAACAGTTATTCTGAAAACACTCTGCTGAACATTTGCTTTTGCTTTTCATTTTCTTCAAATACCATGACCCTAATGAATTCCATCAATTCAGTTCAAATTAACTATCTAAAGCAGCAACTGATAAAAACAATGGTGTCAAGTTGTGAAGCCAGCAGTAGACTCCACAACATTACAGAGAACACCTGAACAATCTGAATATTTCCTTAGAAGGAAGAACTCCCTTTTAAGAAGAATAGACCTATAGCAGAACCAGGTAGAGGGAAAAGACAAACGATTTAAAAAAGAAACAAACAAACAAACAAAAAACCCCAAGAGAACAGAGAACCAAATAAAAACACAAATTATAAAAGAGCACAGAAAACAGTTAATGACATGCAGTGGTGGAAGAAAAGTGAAATTATATTGTGAAAATGAAATACTGTTGATGATGTCTTTAATCATAATGGGGCCTGGTAACTTTGGACTTTGTATATCAGAATAGAGTTCAAGTTAATATTCTCAGAGAGGCAATGAATACAGGAGAAATATGGTCTTTCTTTCTAGTCCCTAACAGAATGCGTTCTGCAGCATTTTGGATCGACTGAACACTCTGCAGGTAACTTTCAAAGCCACCTTATAATCCAACCAAAGATAAAATAAAATGTAGCTGATGATTCTATAGGTTTTAGCTATTTATTCAGCAATTTAATACAGACCTTAAATCATACTAAATGGAAAAGAATGAATCCTGACCTGAGAGTTTCCAGTGTACAGTGTGGACTCTTCACTGCAGCAGACAGGAGCTTCACTCCAGAATCCTGCAGATCATTGTCACTTAAGTCCAGGTCTCTGAGACTAGAGGACTGAGAGCTGAGAACTGAGGACAGAGCTTCACAACTTCGCTCTAAGAGGTTACAGGCACTCAGTCTACAAAATAAGCAACACAAGGACAAAAACGAAAACACTGAAGTTAAAATGTATTCATGGTGAAAGACAGTTTCAAGAAAAGTTTTAAGACTAATCTTAAAAGTAGAAAGTGTGTGTGTCTCCTGAATCCAAACTGGAAGCAGGTTCCACAGAAGAGAGGCCTGAAAGCTGAAGGCTCTCCCTCCCATTCTACTTTCTAGATTAAGTATACTTTTATTAGCTAAACGTTTTAATTGGTAACTATGTTACTTAAGAAAAATTAAATATAATTATAGCTGACCTTAGAGTTTTCAGTGTGCAGTGTGGACTCTGCAGTGCATCAGACAGAAGCTTTACGCCTGAATCCTGTAGGTTGTTGTTACTCAGGTCCAGCTCTGTCAAACTTGAAGACTGGGAACTGAGAAGCGAACACAGAGCTTCACAGCTTCTCTTCGAAAGGAAACAACCATTCAGTCTGGAAAAAGAAAGAAATGTTTGTGTTTATAAGCAATCATTTTTGATGTTCAACCTAAATAAAAAAAACAAACAAACAAAACATGTCAGTGTGCACTACATTTCATGATTAACAACACAACTTGAAATATGAGTTGGGCAAATCACAATTATACCTCTAAATGCAATACACTGAGGAACTGGTACATCTAGTGATAATAGTTCAGTACCTGCTGCCACTAGCATTCAATAATGAAGCATATGTATAAATTAGATAAGGAAGCTCTGTAGTTGTAATGGTCTGGGTAACTTCCGGTGAATCCACCTCTGGGAGGAGTTGCTGGGTTATCACTGACCGGCTGCACCTGGATGTCATTTGGCTGTCCGTTTTAAAGACCAGAATTCACAATCACTCTTCGCTAGAACGTCTGATAACCACAGTTAGCGTAGGCTATTATAGCACATGTGTGATCTTTCTAGTTTTGCTCGTACTTACCTGTGCTTCTCTTCTGCTCGCAGTTATCCTCCGAGACATCATAACCAAATCTGCCATAACTACCTTACCGCATCGCACCTGCCTGCCTCCCCACCCGACTCACTGGATTATCGTGGATCGTCTCTGGACTTTTCTCTCTGCTGACCCGGACCATTACCCCCTCCACGCTTTGCCCCCACATGTGGAAAGTTAGACTGCTCGTAATCTGTTGTTTCACTCTGGACCAGCGTCGGAAACTTCTTTTGAAACCTGTCTCCTTCTGTTATAGTGACTCTGAACTTCCTGGCTCCAGACCCCCAGTGTAGCCTCTCCCTTACCTCCCCACTCCGTGGGTTCCTGTGTGGGCATTTACCGTCAGCGTCGGGTGGGACTCACGGACTTCAGTGATAGTTTGGAATGTTTAATGCTTTATGGTTTTTGTATGTTATTGTTCACCATCACTCATAGTACAGCTCTTGTAAATTGTTATAGTTCTTTGTAGTCACAGGTTATCACTGTGAAATCAAAGTACTGCTCTTGCTTATTTTGGTGTAGTCATAGTTCATGGTAATCACAGTTAAACTCAGTGAGTCTGAGCCCTTAGTTCATAGTGATCGTTTGTTATTGTTAAGTCAAGTTTTAGTTTAAACTTCAAGCACATCGCATGTAGGTTTAGTTACATAGTGGCTTCTTTCACTCTTTGTAAATAAATTGTTGCTTTCACTAATTCTCCGTGCTTCTGTGTGTTGTCTGCACTTAAGTCCATACTTCTGGTGGCCTCTGGGCCATTATAGTGTACTTTACTTTATTGGTCCCCGTGGGGAAAATCGCTCTCTGCATTTAACCCATTCACTCAGTGAAGCAGTGGGCAGCCATTGGGCGCCCGGGGAGCAGTGTGTAGGGACGGTACCTTGCTCAGGGGTACCTCAGGGTAGCTGTTCAGGGGAATCGAACCCCCGACCTTCCGATCATGGGGCCACCACTCTACCTACTGAGCTATCCCTGCCCTAGTAGTCACACATCTGTTTGCTTCCCAGGTGTTTGGTGGCTAATCTGAACTTTACGTAAATTCCATGGTCACATGCTTTCAAACTTATTGGAGTCAAATCTCCAAATACCTTAAATGAATTCTGTATATCAATAAATGTTCAGTTAGTTCTAATTCCTTCTTTCTCCTTGTTGATCTGTTGGTAATTTTCCTGATTTTATAATCTGTGATTATTGTTGTTAGATACTGTCTTGTTTCTTTATGTTGTTGTGGGTTCTTAAGAATGACACCATTACTTGAAGAGAAGGTATTTTATCAAACTGTGGTTCACATGTAAACAAAGCTTCGCCATCACAGTCTACTCCGAGGTAACTCCCCTTGCTCTCTAGCTCCCCCTACAGTCCAGGAGTATTAACAACATAAAACATGATACTAGGCAAATAAGGATTTGCTGTTATCATTACAGATACAGCTCAAAATACTATTTTTCTGCCCCACGCCCCTGGTACCGGGGAAAAAAAGGGAGGAGATCCCGTTTAATTGGTTATAACACGGGGTGAGAAATATAAGTCCAGACATGTGTGGTATCCACAGAAACCTCTCAATCCAAGCTAAAATGTCATATAAACCATTTCTACATCCAAAAAAAAAAAAAAACACACCGAAAACAAGCCATGATTAAGCGAGTAGTTACGTAAATGCGCAGAAGACAACTAAACAAACAAAACCGAACAAGAAATTCTTCAAACTTCATGTAACAGGCTAAAGAAAGTCCAGTTAGCTTCCAGAACTATTACTGACTCCAAGCACCAAGTTTCACCATGCTCTGACCAAAATTCACTGAATGAGCCACAAAAGAAAACCACAAAAACACATAGCGGCGCAAATGCGCTAAGATAGAAATTGGCTTGCTGTCCCGATTTCCTCCGTTATTTTTGCTGGTGTGGGGAACATATCATTTTATATCATTTTTTATATCATGTTAATTCTTTTTAACTTTTTATTAAGCTTTGAGCAGTGGCATTTGATTAAACATTTATTCCATTTATTAAACATACAGTTTTAATCATGTTATTACACACATTGCATTTGTGCTCATAATAGAGTTAAGCATACAGTCTAATGAAGGTTGAAAGCTTCGTTCAGCGTTATGTTTGAACTGATATATTGATGAAATGACTTGAATGCTGTGAATGAATGCCTAACACGCTTACATACACATAAACATGAAGTATAATTTCTAGGGTAAAGGTGAAAGACATCTTGCTTTGTCTCTGCTTGGCAACTAGTGATCCGGGGTCTATAGGATCTGGAGGAGCCAGACAACCATATAGGAAAAAATGCTGTTAAACACGGAAACTTAAACTGTCATTAATTATAACCTATACATGTGATGTTTTGTCTAAAGCGAGAAGGGGCGTTAACCCTGACATAATAAAACCATGCTGAAAGTATGTTTTGACGGAAGATCAGTGTTGGTGATATAAAGATGTGTATCTTTCCACACATGTGTTTAATAAAATCATTGTTTTGACACACTTGGACCAGAGGTTTGTCTCTCACCTCAATCACAAATCGGGACACTGGTAGCTGGTAGCCACGTGATTCTCAGTATTTACCATGCCTACCTAGCCGCATCAGAGCCATTTTCCTTTAACAACCTCCATTTTAGACCCAACTACAGACACGTGACAGGACAAAAGCCACATGCAGTAAATTTGGGCCCATGTGGGTTTTGGCATTGCAACGTTTGATTGGTTGATTGGTATCATCATTAATGTGATTCTATTGCCTCAAATGATTAAAAAGAGGTGTCAATCATGCAATTTGACCAAAAGAAACCAAAGTTACAGCCCCTCAGATTTTAAAGGGCCAGAGACCATATTAAATGCTCCATGCGCACGGCGAAAAAGGGCCATTGCCATGTAAATGTGTGGTTAATTCTTCAAATAAATATATTTTTTGTAAAAAAAAAAAAAAA